TAGGGTTTTAGGATACCGAGGGCTACCTGTGGGATTTGAGCTTTCAGCTTTTAACGGCCTGCGGTTTCCGATCTCTAAGTGACTGGTTGATGGTGCCATGGTCAAGCTTTTAGGTTTAGATTCGCTGGGGATGGAGGGCCAGTTAAACCCCCTAAACCCTGAACTCTTAGCTTATCGGGAGGGCTCAGACTTTCCCACTCTTTAGGACTCAGAGATCAGCTAGGCTTTGGGGTTTTGGTCTGCCTTTTCAGGGATTTTCAGGGCTTAGGGCCCTTTAAAGGCACAGTGCCCCCTGTGACTTAGGGTTGAAAAAGTTTGAAGTTGAAGGTCGAGGGAATTCCGGCCCCTTGGGTCTTTGCACACCAAGCCCTGCATGGCCCTACATCCAACTCATCTTTCAATGAGGTTTCTGAAAGTTTGGGGGCTCTTCTTATCATAGGATCCTACTATGCAGGGTATCTCGAGGCCTCATACATCCTCTTAAGGAAAACCCCAAACCCGTCGAGCAGCTCGCGACAGGTGACCAGGGCATCTGGCAATTCCGCGTCACCCACTTCTGACAGAGCTTTGGGAGATCCCCTCGTCACGTGCTTTCCTCTTCAATCACATAGTATGTGTTCGCAAAAACATTGCTTGAATAATATGGACAAGCACACAGGCAGCCCGCGGACGCGAAAGGCCTCGTCTAAGTTTGGTGCTCGACCGAAGGGATCTCGGATGTACAGAGGCTCCCGAAGAGCAGCGGGAGGTATCCTAGAAGCAATTGAATGCACGGGCGACCCACCGCACACATTTCAATGGCTTTGATATGTCTCGTCCATAGTACCCTTCTTCCTTGGTACTACAAGAGTGGCAGGACCAAGTATTACTGTAACATGTGGCAGGTCTATGTAGCCTTCATCAGACAACAGTCTTGCACCGATGACCAAACCTCTCTTGCGAGCTAGGCTTGGAGATCTGGGTGCTGCGGGGTGTAGAAGGTCCCAAATCCTGAAACATCTCTGAAAGCAATGAGATTTGAGACCGCATGTTCCCCCCCCCCTTCAAAGCCCTGATTTCGGAGTGTCAAGGAGAGAATTTTGATGATTGTCCTCCGCAGCCATACGCAACTTCCTGTTCCGCTCACTCCAAGCCCGAAGCCTTACGGAAAGACAGCAATCCGTCAGCTTCTTAACAACATCTTCATGTTTCGGTGCGGTCGCGCAAATGTCATAACCGTCTTTGCAGTCCTTTTCCGTGTCCCTTGAAGGTCCTAAACCCCCGAAGCACACGAGCCCGATCATCCCTCAAAGGCACGGCTAATTAAATTGCTAAATTCGCTGCGAGACGCTGCCTGAAGATTCAATGCAAAGTTCGCATCTGATGCTCTGAGTTTTCAGATCTGGGAGGGGGGTTGGAATTTAAATGTCCTATGAATTTTACACCTCAGAGTCACAGTATTTCGAGCCATAATCCATGGGACAGGTGGTGTAAGCAATAGCAGGCTTATTAGTCCAGTCATCTTCCAACGCATCGTTGAAAGTGGACCAATATTAGTTAGTACATAGAGAGGCAACGTCAGAGTGCATGGTACCTGTGCGTATAGTGGCGTAGCAAAAGTATCAACATAACGAGTTGCGATTGTTGCATCAGTTCTCAACACCATTCGAGGGTGGAAGGCAAACAGTGGTAAATGATGTAGTGGAAACAACACAAATAGCTGCACTGCGAATAGCAATGAATGGTGGTAAAAGGTGGGCGATGATGGCTACGCCTGTTCCTGTGCTGTTTCAACTGCTGTTGTTGTAGATCGCAAGGATCAATGTCGAGTCGCAGGCCCGACTGAGCTTCAGGTCTAGGCTGCCTACGGTGCGGGAGAAGGGTGAGGAACCGTCAATCTTGCCCCAGTGGGGTTAGCAATCTCTGCGCCAAAATCTACGATCAGGGGTTTTTGCGTCTGCTTCGAGCATGCGATCGGTGGTTGGGTGGTTTTGCACGAGTTGAGGGGGGGCCCTTGAAACCTTAGCCGGCCACGCACCGTACGCACGAAACCCTACCCTAAATCCTAGGACCAAAAACTCGATGCCGGCAACACTCCTGAGCAATGATGTCTTCGCGTTAAACCTTGTCCTTGCACCCTCGCAGTTCCATGGATGCTGCGGTCCTGTCTGAGCTGGCAGCGGCCGGCGCGACAACGAAGGTCCTCCAGGCAGATCGGGGCTCTCTATGTTGAAAAAGAACTAAAGGATTCTGAAAGTTCGTCGAGGAGTTTAGATTGGAACTGCAAGGGCCTGGAAGGGTTGCTGCACTTACGAGGGGGACTCTATGACAAAAAGGGGTTTTCTGCACGGGTTGCAGAAAGGGTTCAATGAGGGTTAGTGTTCTACTACAAGAGTTACAAAACCATTGTAAGGGCTTCTAGGGGTTGCTATAGACTGTAAGGGTTTCTCCTCAGGGTTCCATAAAGGGTTTCTAGACAGGTTCCATACAGGTTCTGCCAGGTACCCGAGGGATTGGAGCTTAGGGCTCAGATGATATTGGAGGTTTTGGGTTTGAGGCAGGTTGAACGGCACTTTCTGGTACCCGGATTACTCTTGCTGATGTTGCCGTTGTTGCTGCTGTTGTTGTTGCTGCTGTTGCTGTTGCTGTTGTTGTTGTTGTCGTAGTCGTAGCAAACAGCAGCCGTTTGATGGCTACTGTTGCTCTGTAGAATTTTGTCGTTCTATTGACTACCGACTCTCCGTCTGTCGTTGATTAATGAGTTCTTGGTGTCGGCGTATTGCTTTCAGTGCAGCGAAAGACATAACACAAACTGCCCAATCTCGTCTCTGGCCGTTTTTGGAGTCCCTGATCCCACTTGGGTCTTGAGTTCAGGCTGCTGCAGATCCCTCTCTGCTCAGCCCCTACCAATACGTGCAGCTCACTTCCAGCTGAGGCCGCTGAATTCCAGACCCAGCTCCTTGAGCTTCTTGCCGACACCTTCAGCAAGGCCTGCTTCTCTGAAGGGAGTCCAAGTTGCGAGCCCGTCATGACCTGCAAACCTACACCAAATATCGCCAGTTTACGGCTTTGGGGTTTTAGGGTTTCGGGTTTAAGGTTCGGGGTTTAGAGTTTTGGTTTCGGTTTTTGTAACGACCCCAAACTCTTTAGATCACGCTCGAGCGCAGTAGACCCAGTTCGCTCCCTTCAGCACAAAGTGAATTTCCCAAACTCCAGCTGAAAGGTCTCATACTTAAAGCATGCAAGAGGGAAGGTTACCGGGCTTCGCACCCAGGACCTCGAATCGCAAATGTCAGCCCAGAAGCCCGAGCCCGACAGGCTAAACGCCAAACTGCACTCCGGCGGTCTCGAACTCAAACCCTAAAACTGAAATCACCGAACCGAACCCGAAGCCGAACGACCGTGATCCGGGCTTCGCCGCATGCCAGGCTTGCCTGCGAAAAGCCACCTTTGTCAAGGTAGGCACCTTGCATCCAGATGCCAAGGGCCTGAACGTGCTGCTGAAGGCACAGGGGTTTTGAGGTGTGCATGAACTTCTTTGGCTTCGGTCTGGCGATCTGTGCCATAATGATGATGATGATGATGATGATCACTATCATCGTCATCATCTTCATCCGCTCCATCGCAATCTTTGAGTCACTATCATGTATTGCGAATGCTGCCATCACGATCGACCTGACTCGTCCGAATAATTTTCAATTATAGTGACGGTTGTGGTCAAAATGAGGACGATGATGATGATCATCATCATCATCGTCGTCGTCTTCGTCATCATCATCGTCATTACCATCGTCAGCATCGAGCATCTAGAAGAACATCAACCACAACTACATCTACAGCTACTACGGCGACGACAAAAACAACTACGACTGCACCAGTAGTTACTTCTAACTCTATTACTCTACTTTCGCCACCTGCTGCTGCTGCTGCTGCTGCTGCTGCTGCTGCTGATCATGATGATGAGGGAGGTTGATGACGAGGATGGCGCTCATGATGATGAGAGCCACGACAGTGACTGTAAGGGAAGTGTTCACGGCGGCGATATAGGTGATTCGCCTGCGTCCCAGCCGGAAAGAGGTGTTAGAAGAGCCCCACCTGGCGGTGAAGACGGCCGCTGGCAGCATCTTCGAGGCTCGGGCACTGGAGTTCTTCAGAGGCATACGCCAAAATCTTTGCTGGCGGTCGCTTGTTGGCGGGTGGGAGGGCTGGCTGGGGCTCCTGAAAAACCAGAGTCATGCAGTGTAAAGCAGTAGGTCGGTACAGCACTTTGTTTTCCTTTCGAATGTGGAGATATCTGCTTTCAACAAGTGACGGGTGAGTCGCATTCGAGTCTTTGCGGTCTGGATCAGTGGATGTAACCAAACTGAAGCAGGTGAGATGTGGCGATGAGACCGCTCAGGCGAGAGGGAGTGCATGTCCTGCAGTCTCGTGTGGGTGCAAGGTTAGGACAGGAGTGCCGGGGTGTGATAGGGCTTCAACACCTGGCAGCAACGAAGACAACCACAACGACATGCTACTTCCATCAACCGTGGCTATTCTGAGCAACACAGTATATTCACTATCATTGTCAGTCATTATGATGATGGCTGCTGCTGCTACTACTACCACCATCACCACCACCACCACCACCACCACGACTACTACTACTACTACTACTACTACCACCAGTACTATTGCTACTACTAGTACTACGACAACGACGACAACGACGACGACGACGACTACTACACTACTACTACTGCTGTTGCTGCTGCTGCTGCTGCTGCTGCTGCTGCCGCTGCCGCCACCACCACCACCACACGACGACCGCGACGACGACCACGACTACTGCTACTACTTCTTCCTACTACTACTACTACTACTACTACTACTACTACTATTAGCCGCCTGATTATGTCTTGCTAGTAGCGCTGTGCCTCATGCTTTGGGGACTCTTGTTGCTATCCCTGTTGCAACTGCTGTAGTTTTGGTACTGCAGCCCCTGCATTATCCTCAGCACAAATAGCACCTGCCTTTTCCCCATGGCCGAGTCGAGGGCCTGGGAAATTCCTTTCCCACCGGATGTATATGCCATCGCTCTTGAGGAATCCTTGCTGCTAGATGCGTTGAACAGCCTCCTGGGGAACACCTCGGCCAAACGCATTCCGCCTGCTCTGGGGCTGGCGCCGGTCAATGACATAGTGCACGGTGCCTGTGAGCTACTGCAAGATACGGAGCAAGCACTGTTCCTGCAGTACTATGAGAAGCTCGCTGCTTGTAGGCGCAGAGCCCTTGACACCCACATGCCGGAGCCGGCACCGGTGCTCACGGATATCCTATGTAGGGCTGAGGCTTTGGCTAGATACTATCTGATGGAGGGACAAGCGCCCATTTGGACAGCAGCCAGACAAGTAGTTGCTGAGTTGGAGTGGACCGTGGATAAGCACTCGGTTGCACCCAATACAGGCGGCAATGTTCTGCTTGGCGCTTATTCCTCTGGTCCCTTCGCAGGTTTGTGCAAGTTGACGAAGAGTCACGCTTCTGTGTGCAGGTTGTTAAACCGGCTGGTTCAGCATCTAGGTGGAGCCCTGGATAGGCCACAATACTGGAGCACCCTTGCGATCAACATGGATCTGAGGCTTCCACCGCATAAAGACAGGGGCAACTTCCCCACGAGCAATCTTGTTTTCAGCCTCACGCATCACTCAGAAGGTGGCGTATGGATTGAGGATGGTTGTGGGCAAGCTTACCTGAGCCCTTCGGGTGTGCCCCGTTGCGGTACGGTCTTTAAGCTGGGGCTTCAGAGTTTGAGTTTTCCTGCGCATCGCATGACACATGCCACGTGTGACTGGCATCTTACCAATCGTGTCATTTTGTCTGCGTACTGTGCTGGGCAAACGCACCATCTCAAGTTGGATCAGAGGATGCTGCTCAGGGATCTTGGCTTTGTGCTACCACCACTCCCTGAGGAAAGCAGTCCTCACTAGTTCACTTGGGGTTGGTTTGTTTTGCCTGTTGGTTCCTGGTGCTGCTAGGACCCCTCACCTGTGGCTCATGGGTTTAGCCGTTCTGCACACTTCCTGACTTTCGCTCCTGCACAGTGGCTAGTGCATCAGTGTGATGGACTGTCGTCCATGCTGTCTGTGCAAAAGGGTGCGCGCTGCAATTGCGACTGTTCCATTGGAACATACTTGGTTATCATGGTGTCGCATCATTCTGTGGCACTTGCTGACTCAGCATGACAGGTCATGAATCATGGCGGCCTCTCGACGCGGAGCTGCAGGCGCAATGGCTGCGATCGTAAGCTTCCCTTGCTGCCTTTAGGTGCGGTGCCCAGTCATGGTCATTGCTGCCCGGCGTGCAGCTATGGAAGCCACACCAGACACTGTGATAGAGCTCATCGCTACCTCCTACGAGCCACTATCAGCACGTGCAGGACTCCAGGCTGCTTTCTAAGGGTGCAGGTGGGGCATACGTCGTGCTGTTCTTCGTGCAGGAAGAGCCTAGGTGCATCGCACTCTGTCACGTGTGCTGGGCGGCAGATGATCCTGGCCAATACTCCGCAGGCAGCTAGCAGTACCGCTGCATCGCCTCATGCATGGATCACAGCAATGCCGGGAGCTGGCATGGTCGGCGTGGTTGGTGCTACAGCGGAGGGATCAGATGAAAGGTCGGCAGGCGACCCTCCTGCTACGCAGGGCCCGGCAGGGGATTTGCCTGCTCCATCGTCAACAAAGGTCGCTGGTTCTGGGGCTGATTCTGGCTATGCAGCGGGTATGAGCCTGGGAGCGGACTACTCTGCTCGCTCTGCAAACTTTGGCAGTCAGAACAGCATAATGATCACCATCAGTGACTCTGAAGACGATCCTATGCTGCCAGCAGACGACATTGAAGGGCTTGTCGAGGCTGGACAGCACTCAGCGGAGGCAGCGAATCATGCTGACAATTTCGATCTCCTCGGCATGGATTGAAAATTTTTCTGAAAGGACTGCCGTCTCAGTTTTGCTCGAAAGTGCGGTATGAGGACTTGATGACGATCTTTATGGAGAAGCGTAGTTCCAGTCTATAAGGATCCTCAATAGCAGGATGCAGCCACTGAGCTGCCGGGCTATGCCTGCCTTTCGTCTATCATCGGATCGGATCGGTGAGACGTGTGCAATGCAATACTACTACTA